GTCTTGAAGATTCTCTTCTAAAAAACTATCATTCAAAGTCAAAAAGCGAAGCTATTGCAGCTTACAACAAGGCAAACCAATACGCCAAAAACAACGTTTCATTTGTAATTGTAACCGAAGTTAGGAAAATCCTTGAAAAGGTGAGTCAAAGCCAGCGAAAGTGCAATCATGTACTCCTAATATCGCTGACCGAACACTCTGAGTAATTTGGCTGTGTATATTCGCGGCCAGATTGTGGACAGATATGATGATTGTGCTTACACAATCAAATGCATGCATTGCCTTGTAAGGCATGGAGCGCTGAGGCAATACATATGTACATATATGCTATCTATAATATAATCACTTTGTTTGAATAGGTGGCAGATATGTGCTGCAAGGGCGTTAAATGAGCATGCGGTGATTCCAGCCGACGCATAAATTGTATATAACCAGGTTAAAAATCCATTGTATCGGGTGATTCAAAGATGTGTAATCCATGATGTCCTACGACATGTAATCAATGACGTCAGATGACTTGTAATCTATAACGTCAGATGACTTGTAATCTACATATAAAGTCGGATGACTTGTAATCTATAACGTCAGATGACTTGTAATCTATCATGTCCGACGACATGTTATCTTTTATGTCAGATGATTCATGGGTTTATAATACATGATGTACATGAATTTTCAATCCAAGAGCGATTCAAGTTCTTTGGAAGCAGGGCGAAGAACGCGAAATCAACCATCAATGTCGATTAGAAGATGAAAGATCCAATTCGTACTATAATTTAAATATGGAATGGTCAAATAGTGAAAGTAACAGATGGAATGCAGATCATTACAAGTTTATTACTTCTTTCGAATTTTTACATTAAATGTTAGTGCGGGGACTTCCTTCTGAAGCTCAAACCATCAAAACAGTTCAGCATTAGTTTGAACGTCTCGGGCAAAATGCGTTCTGAGGTAACGGGATAGTATATGATTTAATTCTAATTTATCTTCAGGAATTTAACCCTTGAGATACGAACTACTTTTGATCGCTGGTAATTTTTCACCGACATTCATAAAATAGGTGATTACTTTTGATTAGATTTTTATGATAATCATTATAGGAAAAATAAAAACTTTCTAGATATAATATATACGGAAGAATTTGGGAGTTTCCAATGACCAAGCATTATCTAGTACATGTTACAATGTGTGAAACGAACATGAGAGAGTACAATGATGCCGCAGCCATACACACGGGGCAGAATAACGCTATGTGAGCGAAGATCATAAAGTGAACACAGTGCTGCAAAGTTGTTATGGATTTACATGTCTAAAATAGTAGAAGATAAATATTCATCAAGTTGAGCAAAAAAGAGCGGTAACTACTAAAATTTGCCTACGAGGATGTGACCACGCAACTGTATTTTTAAATACTCATGATCGTTCTTAAATATCTTCAGCATCACGCATAACCGGTCTAACCACCAACGTCGTTCAACTACACTCTAATTGTGTCAATTTTGACCGTCAGCGCTTGCCGACGTTATTTTAGCCACTCTCAAACGCACTTAGCTAATTAGATGTATCAACGATTTGTGGTTGATCGCTAATTGGTTTTGGTAAAGCCACTTATTGTTTTGAAGAACTAGATGAAAAGAAAGCTTCCTGTGGTTTGCATCGCGCAAGCCTGCATGCAAGATCCACGTCCAGATTCACGACAGTTCCAATTGAGTGATGAGTTGTAGGGCTGAACATTTTTACGTTAAGAAATTGAATTCTATCTTATTTATGCATGTTTTAAAACTTATTACTGCTTATACGTGCAACTGATCGTATAACTGAACCAAATAATCTCCCTAGCACGTTAAACCCGAGGACGAGTTAAACTACCCGTCAAAAAAATATGGTGAAACTTGAGTCTCAGCAATCATCTAAAAAACCACTCACAACAATCATGCAAATGGCATCACTGTCGTGATTGTCCATATTTTTGCCTTGGTTATAGTTAAGTGATGATTAAACCTCGAAAAGCATTGCTGATATAATTATTGGATTCAAACTCTGAACCACCTTCTTCTCCTGCCTCATATACTGGCACAGCCGCACTGAAAAAAATTATTTGCTCAAAAATGATTTTATAGTTAATCCCAAAAATATGGAAATAACGCAAGTTCAGAAATTTTTATTCTCATTTTAGGTGCATCAGTAACAACCCCCATTCTTTTGTTGCTAACACACCGTCTACTTGGGTTATCTGCTCCGACACTGTCATTCTTTACCTCCATCAGGGTTGGTGATTTTTTGTTTAAAAAAAAAATCAAAAAAATAAAAAATCAATGATTTTTTTATTTTTTCATAATTTTTATTTATTTATTTGATTTTTTAATTTTTTCAGCTTTTTGTCTTTTTGAAGTGTTATTTTTATGTTGCAATTAGCCTACTAACAATAACAGTATATGGATCATAATGGATGGCTAAAAAGGGCACTTATTGCCTTCAATAATGGCCAACAGGCCAAGGTGGTGTTTGNAATGCTGTCTCCTCGCCATCATTGACCTCCATAATGCTGTCTCCTCGCCATCATTGACCTCCATAATGCTGTCTCCTCGCCATCATTGACCTCCATAATGCTGTCTCCTCGCCTTCATTGACCTCCCTAATGCTGTTACTTCGCCATTATTTACCTCCATAATGCTGTCTCCTCGCCTTCATTGACCTCCATAATGCTGTTACTTCGCCATTATTTACCTCCACAATGACAATCACGCAGAATCATTTACCTCTGCAATGCCAATCTACAACTAAAATATACGTGAAAAGCTTCATGACCATCTAGTTCGATTATGAGTCTATTAACTCTTCCATTTATTTGTAGTTATATAAGGTTTCATTGTTTATGTGAGAGTAGCATCGTAATGCCAGAACGTATGCTCATGAATAATATCCCTTCAATTTACACGAAATTTCAAAATACTTCAGGAACTGTCCAGTAAAAATTGACTGAAGGAAGTGAATGAAGTTGCATTCGTAATGAGCAATATTTCTTTCAGAACATTGTAGAGCACTACGGGATCTATGTTCAGAAGAACAACGAAATAAAGGTGGGCGAGATTGGATGGAAGTCCTGATTGTACTGCGTGTTGAGTTTGATAAAATTTTTGTCAAATACTCGGTCTTCTACGAATTGAGACTTAACCCTTTAATACGATATATGTACTCAATTTATGATTAACTATTGAGATATACTATATTTAAATAAACATTCTACGAGAATGTTTATTTAAATAAACATTCTACAACTTGTAAATTTTTCGAGAACAACTTACTTATAACGTTTCCTTTTCAGATGATGGGGCGCGTCAAATGCAATGAGACCCGCAAGAAGGCATTTGAGCTTTACAAAAACACAATGGATTCAAAAATCGAATCCCATGGAAAGAACTCCTCATCACGGAATCTAATCTTGAATCTATTTGGAAGAGAATCATCCGGATTTCTTGAAGGCTCTCTTCTATACAGCTGTCACTCAGAGTCAAAAAGCGAAGCTATTGCAGCTTACAACATGGCAAACCAATACGCCAGTGACAACGCTTTGTTTGCAGTTGCAGCTGAAGTTAGGGAAAGCCTTGAAATGGTGAGTCAAAGCCAGCGAAAGTGCAATCATGTACTCATAATATCGCTGACCGAACACTCTGAGTAATTGGGCAGTGTATATTCGCGGCCAGATTGTGGACAGATATGATGATTGTGATCACACAATCAAATGCATGCATTACCTTATGAGGCATGGAACGAAGAGGCAATAATTTAAATCAATAAATATTATCGATTTGTTTGAATAGGTGGCAGATATGTGCTGCATAACAGGACTAACCACCAACGTCGTTTAACTACACTATAATTGTGTGAAGTTTGACCGTTAACGCTTGTCGACGTTATTTTAGCCACTCTCAAACGCATTTAGTTAATTACTTAAATTTTTCAACGATTTGTGGTTGATCGCTAATTGGTTTTGGTGAAGCCACTTATTGTTTTGAAGAACTAGATGAGAAGAAAGCTTCCTGTGGTTTGCATCGCGCAAGCCTGCATGCAAGGTCCGCGTCCAGATTCACGACAGTTCCAATTGAGTGATGAGTTGTAGGGCTGAACATTTTTACGTTAAGAAATCGAATTCCATCGTATTTATTGCTGTTTTATGACTTATTACTGCTTATACGTGCAATCGATAGTATAACTGAACCAAATAATCTCCATAGCATGTTAAACCCGATGACGAGTTAAACTACCCGTTCAAAAAAACATGATTAAATTTGAGTCTCATCAATCATCATCAAAAATTACTCACAAAAATCTAACACATTGCATCACTGTCGTGATTGTCCATAATTTTGCCTGGGTTGAAGTTGAGTGATTGTTAATCCTCGAAAAGCAACGATGATATATTTATTGGATTCAAACTCTGAACCACCTTCTTCTCCCGCCTCATATATTGGCACAGCCGCACTGAAAAATTATTTGGTCTCATTCTTTTATAGATAATACCAAAATCATGAAGATAATGCACATTCAGAAATTATCATTTGCATTTTAGGTGCATCAGTAACGACCCCCATTCTTTTGTTGCCAACACACCGTCTACTTGGGTTGTCTGCTCCGACATTGTCATCCTCTACCTCAACAATGCTGTCCCCTCGCCATCATTGCCCTCCACAATGCCAATCACTCAGAATCATTTACCTCTACAGAGCAAATCTACAGCTGAATTATACGTGAAAAGCTTCATGGCAATATAGTTCGTATCGGAGTCTATTAACTCTTTAACATATTCCTAGCTATCAAAGTTTGCATTGTTTTTACGAAATTGGCATTGCAATGCCAGAACGTCTGCTCATGAATAATATGAATAATATCCCTTTAATTTACACGATCTTTCAAAATACTTCATTAACAGTGGAGTAAAAACTAACTGAAGGAAGTAAATGAAGTTGCAATCGTAATGAGCAATATTTTTTCAGAACATTGAAGAACACTACGGGACGTTAAGAAGACGATATGGAGGCGGACGAGATTGGACGGAACTCCAGATTGTACTGCCTGTTGAGCTTGATAAAATTATTTTCTAATTTCTTGGTCATCTACAAATTTGAGACTTAAAACTTTTAATCGATATATGCACTCAATTTATGATTAACTTTTAAGATATACCGTACCTTATTTAAAAAACTTTATACGAGAGCTATCAACTTGTAGTAAATTTTTCGATAATAACTTAATTTTCTTTTCAGATAAAGGGACGCGTCAAATGCGAGGAGACCTGCAAGAAGGCATTTGAGCTTTACAAAAAAACAATGGATTCAAAAATCGAATCCCATGAGAGATGTCTCTTAGAAGATTCTCTTCTAAAAAGCTGTCACTCAGGGACAAAAAGCGAAGCTATTTCAGCTTACAACATGGCAAACCAATACGCCAGTAACAACGCTTTGTTTGCAGTTGCAGCTGAAGTTAGGAAAATCCTTGAACTGGTGAGTCAAAGCCAGCGAAAATGCAATCATGTACTCATAATATCGCTGACCGAACACTCTGAGTAATTGGACTGTGTATATTCGCGACCAGATTGTGGACAGATATGATGATTGTGCTTACACAATCAAATGCATGCATTGCCTTATTAGGCATGGAGCGCAGAGGCAATAATTTCTATCAATAAATAATATCGATTTGTTAGAATAGGTGGCAGATATGTGCTGTAATGGCGTCAAATGAGCATGCAGGAGCGGGTGATCGGCGATACCAGCCGACGCATAAATTGTATATTGGTATGTACAATAAATCCATGATATCGAGTGATTCAAAGATGTGTAATCCATGATGTTTCACGGTGTGTAATCAATGATGTCAGACGACTTGTAATCAATGATGTCAGACGATTCAAGAATTTGTAATCCATGATGTACATGGATTTGTAATCCAAGGGCGATTCAAGACTTTTGAGAGCTGGGCGAAGAACGCGGCGATCAACCATCAATGTCGAGTAGAAGACGAAAGGTCCAATTCGTACTATAATTTAACTATTGAACGGCCAAAGAGAAAGCAACACACAGAATGCAGATCATTACAAGTTTAATACTACTTTCGAATTTTTACATAAAATGTTAGTGCGGGGACTTCCTTCTGAAGCTCATACCATCATAACAGTTTAGCATTAGATTCAACGTCTAGGGCAAAATGCGTTCTGAGGTAACGGGATAGTATATGATTTAATTCTAATTTATCTTCAGGAATTTAAATCTTGAGATAAGAACTAGTTTTGATCAATGTCAATTTTTTACCGATATTCATAGGAAAAAGGTGATCAACTATGATTGAATTTTCATCTTAATAATTATAGGAAAAATTACAACTTTCTAGAGATAATGTAGATGGAAGAATTTGGCAGTTGTAAATGACCAACCATGGTCTAGTAAATGTTACAATGTGTGAAACGAACATGAGAGAGTACAAAGATGCTGCATCCATACACCCGGGGCAGCATAACGCTATGTGAATGAAGCTTGGACACCTATTACACAAAGATGCAAGGTGGTTCTGGATTTGCATTTCTAAAAAGTAGAAATGCAAATAAGAATAGAAAAGTAGAAATTCATCGAGTTGATTAAGAAAGAGCGGTAACTACTGAAATTTGCCTACGAGGATGTGACCACGCAACTGAATCTTTAAATACTCATGATCGTTCTTAAATATCTTCAGCATCACGCATAATCGGTCTAACCACCAACGTCGTTTAACTACTCTATAGTTGTGTGAATTTTGACCGTCAACGCTTGTCGTCGTTATCTTAGCCAGTCTCAAAAGCATTTAGTTAATTACTTAGTTTTTTCAACGATTTGTGGTTGATCGCTAATTGGTTTTGGTAAAGCCACTTATTGTTTTGAAGAACTAGATGAAAAGAAAGCTTCCTGTGGTTTGCATCGTGCAAGCCTGCATGCAAGATCCACGTCCAGATTCACGACAGTTCCAATTGAGTGATGAGTTGTAGGGCTGTACATTTTTACGTTAAGAAATCGAATTCTATCTTATTTATAGCTTATTACTGCTTTTACGTGCAACTGATAGTATAATTGAACCAAATAATCTCCACAGCATGATAAACCAGACGATGAGTTAAACTTCCCGTCCAAAAAATACATGATTTAATTTGAGTCTCGTCAATAATCATCAATAATTACTCACAAAAATCTTACACATTGCATCACTGTCCTGATTGTTAATATTTTTGCCTTGGCTATAGTAAAGTAACGGTAAACCTTGAAAATCAACGATGATATAATTATTGGATTCAAACTCTGAACCACCTTCATTGCCCGCCTTTATCCCTTTAATTCTCACGAGATTTCAAAATACTTCAATAACTGTGGCCTAAAAAATTAACCGAGGGAAGTGGATGAAGCTGCAATCGTAATGAGCAATATTTTTTTCAGAACATTGAAGAGCACTACGGGACCTATGTTCAGAAGAACGACGAAATGAAGGTGGGCGAGATTGGATGGAAGTCAAGATTGTACTGCGTGTTGAGCTTGATAAAATTATTTTCCAAATACTCTGACTTCTAGGGATTTGGGACTTAATACTTTTATTCGATACATGTACTCAATTCATGATTAACTATTAGGATATACCAAACTTCAATAAACAATTCATTAGAGTAAGCAACTGTTAAATTTTTCGAGAACAACTTATCTACAACATTTCCTTTTCAGCGAAAACGGCGCGTCAAAATCGGTGAGACCAGCGAGAAGGCATTTGAGATTTACAAAAGAAGAATGGATTCTAAAATCGAATCCCAGCGAAGATCTCTTGAAGAATCTTTTCTAAAAAGCTATCACTCAGAGTCAAAAAGCGAAGCTATTGCAGCTTACGACAAGGAAAATCAATACGCCAACACCAACGCTTTGTTTGCAATCGCAGCTGAAGTTAGGGCAATCCTTGAAACGGTGAGTCAAAGGCTGCGAAAGTGCAATCATGGACGCATAATATCGTCGACCAAGCACTCATAGTATGTGGGCTGTGTATATTCGCGGCCAGATTGTGGACAGATATGATGATTGTGCTTACACAGTCAAATGCCTGCATTGCCTTATTGCATGGAACGAAGAGGCAATATTTTATATCAATAAATATTACCGATTTGTTTGAATAGGTGGCAGATATGTGCTGCAATGGCGTCAAATGAGCATGCAGGAGCGGGTGATCGGTGATACCAGCCGACGCATAAATTGTATATACCAGGTTACAAATCCATGATGTCGAGTGATTCAAAGATGTGTAATCCATGGCAGGCGATTTGTAATCCATATGTCAGACGACTTGTAATCATGATGTCATACGACTTGTAATCTATGATGTCAGACGGTTCTAGGATTTATAATCCATGATGGAAATGGATTTTTAATCCAAGAGCAATTAAAGTCCTTTGAAAGCTGGGCGAAAAACGCGACGATCATACATCATGTCGAGTAGAAGACGAAAGGTCCAATTCGTACTATAATTTAACTTTTGAACGATCAAAAAGGGAATGTAACAGATGGAATGCAGATCACTACAAGTTTAATACTTCTTTAGAATTTTTACATAAAATGTTAGTGCGGGGACTTCCTAATGAAGCTCATACCATCATAATGTTCGGGACAACTACGCTCCTTAAACTACGTTACTGGGTCTCTGCCCGGGGCCTGATAAGAAATAAAGTAACTAGTTTTAATTAAATTTGTTTCATATCAGGGGTTTCAGTCCCTCTTTTCTGAATTTTCTTCCCTACTTTGTAAGACAATGTCGTCTTACGACGAACAATTCGAAAATCCTTGTTCTTTCAGGTTTTACGTTATGTTATCTTTCTAATATATATCGCGGGCCGATATATAATCATGGCCGAGTGGCTCGAGTGGAGAGTCCAGACTAACAGAGATGGCAAAACGCCCTTCTGGTAACGACCTGGCTCTCTTACGGATACGCAAAGACCTTTCGCTGGATTGACAAACCCTGGCGGGGACCTAGACCCGACCCGCTAGCTTCAATAGTCATGCGTGGCAAGGGTTAGCTGCGGGACTCCTGGGCAGGCGGGGGGCTGCTTAAACACCGCGCAGATGGAGTGGCGCCCGTCTTGCAACGAAAATGAACGCGTGGACTATATCTAATCAATTTAAGAGGCATATTAAGACATTTGAAAAGAAAATGCATTAAGTATCTAAATAGTTCACCATTAAATAGCTCACTATCAATCAAAGGTATATGGAGTAACGAATAGTGATAGAGAAATTCGAAATAGTGGTTGAATTCAAAATTGAAATTAAGGCATGCCTAAATGAAGATGAACCCCACGTTTTTCGTGTTAGATGTTGTAAAATATTTTAACTGAAATACAAAAGACCAAGAAAATGAAAGCAAACAGAGATTAGTAGCTGCCAAAAAATTATTTTCTACTTTTTAGTCCACATGGAAAATGTGGTCTTTAAAAATTTTTTTATACACATTATTTTCTACTTTTTAGTTTTATGTTCGAGAATTAACCGCGTTTGTTAGTTCTGAAAATCGCCGCTTTAGAGAGAATGGCGCTGCGATCGATTAAAGGAAAACAAATTTCCACTTCAAAAATTAATTTGTTTATAATAGTGATAAATACGCCTCGAAACGTGCAACAAATTATTGATTATTGTATTGTCATCTGAGCTGAGCTTCCCTAAAAGTTTCAGAGCGCTAGCTAGCGGGAAAGTTGGTGAAATATCGATTGCAAGATTTGATCATCACAAACAGACAGACAGATCCATCTTGTTCCCACCACCGTTACTTAAGGTAAATCGGAGGGTGCACCGTACCCCTTAATGGTTTCGGGTTATTTTTTTAGTTTCCCCCTTAGATTCTCTTTCTCTTCGTTTTCTCCCTTGCTCCTGACCTACCGTTTTCTGTTTATCGAGCAACGCACCGTTTCTACGACCTGTGCTGCAGCTGCCGTTGCCGCTGTAGCCTATCTTGCTGTTCTCGCCGCCTGTACTTGCCGCAGCTATATGCCTGCTTCCCTACGGCTGTTCCTTCCTACCTACAACTCTGGCTGACGCCACGCAGCTCTGCTTAAAAGATGTTTTTAACTACATATTTGCCACTGCTCGTGGACGCGACTGATAGTGTTCGTCACAACGTACCCAGGATTTTTACTACCTTAGAGTTCCTCACGCAGTTCGCATTCGGGTTCGTATGCACTATCAACGCTGGTTTACTAACCGTCATTCCGTGTAATCCTTCGCCCGCTATACATTCGAAAACCAGGGCTCATACTTTAAAAAAAAAGTTAAGAGATCGTAAGTTCATCAGCCAATCATTGACGGGCTTTCAAGCAAAATTCACCAATCACTGACATAAAAATACAGCGTAAGTACTTACGTTCACTTAGCAAATTTTGAAAGTATAGCCTCAGGTCTCTGGTGGTACCGACACTCATATCCTTCGCGAACACATTTTCACATTGCTGATTGTGGCCTTTCTGTCGCAGCTGTTGGCCAGCCGCGTTTTTAATTTACTTTCGGCCACGGGAATCATCATGGTGCGCGGTTTCATCATTTGCATTACGATCGCTGAAACACGTTTTTCCCCCAACGCTCGCGATTGTTCGGGTTTTGATATCTTTCCGTTTAGAAGTAAGCCAATTCGGAAACTGAACCGAAGTCTTCTCAGCGTGGCCTATTAATTTACTGGGTTATGTCTAAAGACTTCCTAAGCTCGGCGTCGAAGTACAATAATATTTGTTCCCTTTTTCTCAAGCTTTTTACCCTCGGTTAACATTTCGGCGCAATAATAATCTTGGTCAACGTACGGCCCTCAGGCACATAGCGAACTTGTCGCTACGTACGTCATTCGAAAAAATTCAAAATTTTCTATCCTATATTCCGTCGCGAAACTTCTCATCTGTACGGATTTCTCTCGTCATCATTCGACTCATCTTTCTAATTAGGGTCTAATTTATGGCTGTTTTATAACTTATTACTGCTTACACGTGCAACTGATCGTATAACTGAACCAAATAATTTCCATAGCATGTTAAAGCAGACGATGAGTTAAACTTCCAGTCCGAAAAGAATATGATTAAAATTTAATCTCATCAATCATCATCAAAAATTACTCACAAAAATCTTACACATTGCATCACTGTCGTGATTACCCATATTTTTTCATTGGTTATAGTTGAGTGATGGTTAATCTCCGAAAAGCAACTTTTATATAATTATTGGATTCAATCTCTAAACCATCTTCTTCCCCCTCCTCCTGTATTGGCACAGCCGCACTGAAAAAATTATTTGCTCTCATGCTTATCTATACTTAATATCATATATATGAAAATAATGCACATTCAGAAATGTGAAAATATTCATGACACTCTAGTTCGATTTGGAGTCTATCAACTCTTCCGTATATTCGTAGCTATCTAAGGTTTCATTCTTTATATGAGAGTAGCATTGCAATGCCAAAACCTGTGCTCGTGAATAATATCCCTTCAATTTTAACGATATTTCAAAATGCTTCAATAACGGTGAAATAAAAATTTGACCGAAGGAAGTGAATGAATTTGCATCGTAATGACCAATAATTTTTTTTTCAGAACATTGAAGAGCACTACGGAACCTATGTTCAGAAGAACGACGAAATGAAGGTGGGCGAGATTGGTCGGAAGTCCAAATTGTACTGCGAGTTGAACTTAATAAAACTATTGTCCAAATACTATGTCCTATGAAACGTGGGACTTAACATTTTTATTCATTATATGTTCTAAATTTGTGATTAACTATTAAGAGATACCAAACTTCAATAAACAATTTACGAGAATATGCAACTGTTAAATTTTGAGAGAACAACTTTCTTACAACATTTCCTTTTCAGCGAAAGGAGCGCGTCAAAATCGATGAGACCAGCGAGAAGGCATTTGAGCTTTACAAAAGAACAATGGATTCAAAAATCGAATCCCAGCGAAGATCTCTTGAAGAATCATTTCTAAAAAGATGTCACTCAAACTCAAAAAACAAAGCTATTGCAGCTTACAACAAGGAAAACCAATACGCCAGAAACGACCCTTTGTTTGAAACTGCGGCTGACGCCAAGAAAATCCTTGAATTGGTGAGTCAAAGCCAGCGAAAGTGCAATCATGTACTCATAATATCGCTGACCGAACACTCTGAGTAATTGGGCTGTGTATAATCGCGGCCAGATTGTGGACAGATATGATGATTGTGCTACACAATCAAATGCATGCATTGCCTTATTAGGCATGGAGCGCAGAGGCAATAATTTCTATCAATAATTATGATAGATTTGTTTTAATAGGTGGCAGATATGTGCTGCAATGGCGTCAAATGAGCATGCAGGCGCGCGTGATCGGTGATACCAGCCGACGCATAAATTGTATATACCAGGTTACAAATCCATGATATCAAGTGATTCAAAGATGTGTAATCCATGATGTCAGACGAGTTGTAATCCATGATGTGCATGTATTTGAAATCCAAGATCGATTTACATCATTTGAGAGCTGGGCGGAGAACGCGACGATCATACATCAATGTCGAGTAGAAGACTAAAGGTCCAGTTTGTACTTTAATTTAACTATTGAACTGCCAAAAAGAGAAAGTAACTCATGAAATGCAGATCATTACAAGTTTAATGCTTCTTTAGAATTTTTATATAAAATGTTAGGGTAGGGACTTCCTAATGAAGCTCATACCATCATAATGTAGCCGCGAGACAACTATAATCCTTAAACGACGTTACTGGGTCTCTGCCCGAGGGCCTGATTATAAAAAAGTAAGGAGTTTTAATTTAATATCTTTCTTATCTAGGGTTTCAGTTCCTCTTTTCTGAATTTTCTTCCCTACTTTGGAAGACAACGTCTTCTTACGACGAACAATTCGAAAATCCTTGTTCCTTCAGGTTTTACGTTACGTTATCTTTCTAATATATATCGCTCATCATATGTCAGGTTAGTTGCCGAGTGGCTTACTCTAGCGGCGCGTATGAATAGGTTCTCGTCTGGTCTCTGACGATTTAACACAGGAGGATAGAAACGGCACTGGGAAATATCTAAACACTTCCTAAATTAAGGAATAAACTATCCTATTACTGAACTGAAACACTTTTTTTTATCAGACATCTATTACACGGGGAGAAGAAATCGTCTAGGGGCCTAGGTACATGACTATACACATTCTGGCTTAATACACGGCTATTGTCACACTCAACATTTCTTCAAGTTTTAAGATAAAATAAAAAATCAAAGTTTTAAGACAAATAACGGCCCTATCTCCGTTAAATTCCTAAAATCTACATCACCAGCGCATGTAGGGGCGGTTAACGGTCGAGATCAGAGCGATGCCGGACGCGGACTCCCTGGCTCCTCCTTTTGAGAGTGGCGTTTTCTTTTTACTACCAGTAACGGTATTACTTAGAGCTTTCTACCGTAGCACTACGGTCGAGAAGGTACGTTGTTGTGCCCCGATGATGAACGAGACTGTACCGCTTCTTCTGATGAGAATTGTGACGTACCTCTGCTGACTATGACCGCGACCGATGATAATGTTGCCCAGTGCTCTATACTTGAATCTCTATGATTTTTGGTGTTATAATCGTTTGACAATTCGTGGGTTCTCGCGTTGTCTTTATAAACCGGGTAGATAACGTGGTTGTTCCGTTGAGTAGCACCACTGCTACAAAGTATCGTACTTCCGCGTTTGGAAGACACAACTCGTCACCTCACAAATACGCCGGACGCCAATCCACTGGCTAGCACGCTCGAGGTACCCGCTCGAGACTAGGCTCCAGACTGGACTCACACTCAGTCGTGGCTCTCCCCCACTCCTTAGATATCCTGGCGCTTGCCTCTCGTCGCTGTGTGGCTCCATCCGAATTCAAATCCCGCCCTAAATTCAAATCTCCCTCAAATCATGCCCTTCCTTTACATTTGTAATTATTCGCGAATACCTCTTCCTATCACATCCTCCCGACCGGCCTAAAAAAATAGACGAAAGCCAGGCGTCATCTATTTTTTTCTATCTTATCTTCTATTCCGGAATCCTGATACATAAAAATCGACATCGTATAAAATAAAAAAAATAAAAGAACACATTAATTAGTCCGAGCTAATCAGAGCTAATCAGAACAATTCAACAGTCTCGTCTCTCTCCCCCTGCACAAGCTATCATTGTTAGAAAAATTCCCCAAACTAAAACACAAAGAAACGATAACAAAAATCGCATAAGCCTAACCCACTTAAGAACTCGTTCCAATTACTACACATCGCTACCGTTTAGAATCACAGACACCATTACACACAATCAAAAATAGGATCCACAAAATAACAAAAGGACTTCCCTTCAAAATGTCCTTGCGCTAACACTCGTATAGTCATAGCACAAAACTCAACTCCTTATAAACTAAAATAAAAAAAATTACATTAATCTCCAATAACGAAACTGTGATCAGTCACAAAAAAATCATTTCATAAAATAAAATCGAGACCGTTTAACTCAACATGTCTCAGACGAGTTCAAGCAAAACAAGTCTTGAATGTGACGTTGCTCATTTTGCTGGAAAATTTTGATTTTATTACTTCTACGCTCCATTAACTTTATAAGCTTCGAAATTTAGTTCTGGCTCCGGCAAAGATAACGTTTCCATTTTACATTTAATTGGAACGGTTCAATTTACAATCGCAATAATCCTCCCGCCTTATATAGCAAATAAAAATAGAAAATTCCACAGTATCTTGTACCCATGAGAACTTAAGATAACAACGTACAAATTCCCATCCAGAAATTTATCCTCCAATAATCACATTTCCTAAAAATATCCTGCTTTTTCTGTAGCTGTGCTCGCCTCACGATTCCCTAGTACACTCTTTATATGCACTCAAATTTACTTTATTTTTCTTGCCTTTTTCCTTGCATTTGCTTTTACACTTATGTCGTTTATCAGACGTAGGTCCTTGGTTCCGTTCTCTTCGCATCGTTCGTAGATTTAGGGGAAGGGGATGGGGATTTCTTAAACAGAAGTAAAAGGGGTGAAGAAAAAATCTTTTTCCGAAAAGGGAGCGAACTTGTCTGGAGACTTTTTCTTCCTGCATCCAGCCTAACATGGAAGGGGATTGGGGAAAGGAAAGGGGCAAAAGCTCCTGCGGACGGGGGTAGTTGAAGGGTCGGTGTTGCGGTTCGGGTGCAGCGGTGTGGATTGCCTTCCTCTTTGTCACGTTGACCTTTTGCTCCGTCCATGGTATGGTACATGCGCAGGTATGTTTTTCATGGTTAATACATGTTCACACTAAATTCTTTGCCACCCACAGGTACAGGTCTTTGACATCAAAAAATATCTTATCCCCAGCTCAAGAAACATACACATTACTAGGAATATTAAAATAATTTACCAGTTTACTGGTCACCGGTCGTACAAAAAAAAGTATCCGTATAAAAGCTAAAGGTCAGTCTAGATTTCGTCACAAGCTTGGACCTTAAGAAAATATATCGTCATTCACAATTTTATAACATCGCACAATGACCCAGTGGTCCAATTTTTCGACCTGGACAGCGAGACTCCGCACTTACATGACATTCTTTCCATGAACGGGGACCCATCCTCTTTTCACACGTAACGTCCTCGTTAGATCTGGCCTTTGCCTCACTCGCTCGGCCCAGTTTCTGCAATACAGTTGCAGAAACCGGGTACATTTTCAACAACTTCGTAGCTTTAACTTAACACATTTACATTTAGAAAAAACACGCTACATCTTTCTAGCAAACCTTCCTTCTATCTTGTTCCCACCACCGTTACTTAAGGTAAATCGGAGGGTGCACCGTACTCCTTAATGGTTTCGGGTTATTTTCTTAGTCTCCCCCTTAGATTCTCTTTCTCTTCGTTTTCTCTCTTGCTCCTGACCTACCGTTTTCTGTTTAGCGAGCAACGTAAGATTTTCTACGACCAGGGCCCATACTTTCAAAAAAAGTTAAGAGATCGTAAGTTCATCAGCCAATCATTAACGGCCTTTCAAGCAAAATCCACCAATCATAGACAAGGAAATAGTGCGTAAGTATTTACGTTCACTTAGCGACTTTTGAAAGTATGGCCCCTGCTGTGCTGTAGCTGTTATTGCCGCTGTAGCCTATCTTGTTGCACTCGCCGCCTGTACTTGCCGCAGCTATTTGCCTGCTTCCCTACGGCTGTTCCTTCCTACCTACAACTCTGGCTGTCGCCGTTTACCCCGCGTTATTTTTACCCCTACCTCCTCTGCCACCGCGTGCGCTCCGCTTATATGCTAAATCCCTATATTTTATAATTCCTTTCGATAATTCGGTCTACTTTTTCCTGTTAGCCACGCAGCACTGCTTAAAAAATGTTTTTAACTACATATTTGCCACTGCTCGTGGACGCGACTGATACCGTAGTGTTCGTCACAATACAGCCAGGATTTTTACTACCTTAGAGTTCCTCACGCAGTTCGCATTCGGGTTCGTATGCGCTATCAACCTATCAACGCTGGTTTACTAACCATCATTCCGTGGAATCCTTCGCCCGCTATACATTCGAAAACCAGGTCTCTGGTGGTACCGACACTCATATCCTTCACGAACACATTTTCACATTGCTGATTGTGGCCTTTCTGTCGCACCTGTTGGCCAGCCGCGTTTTTAATTTCCTTTTGGCCACGGGAACCATCATAGTGCGCGGTTTCATCATTTGCATTACGATCGCTGAAACACGTTTTTCCCCCAACGCTCGCGATCGTTCGGGTTTTGATATCTTTCGCTTAAAAGTAAGCCTTCGGAAACCGAACTCATGTGCGTGAGACTTCAGTCTTCTCAGCGTGGCCTATTAATTTACTGGGTCATGTCTAAAGACTTCCTAAGCTCTGCGTCGAAGTACAATAATATTTGTTCCCCCTTTTCCCAAGATTTTTATCCTCGGTTAACTTTTCGGGGTAATAATAATCTAGGTCAACGGACGGCCCTCAGGCACATAGCGAACTTGTCGCTACGTAGTACATACGTCATTCGAAAAAACTCAAATTTTTTCCATCTTTGTTTATTGCGTCGTGAAACTTTTTATCTGTACGGTTTTCTCTCGTCGTCATTCGT